TTCCAAACACAAAACATAACTAATGAGTAGAATATTAAAAATGCAAATGTAACATATAAACACTCACCTACACATTACAATTTATTTCATTATTCCAATATTTGAAAATAGTTTTTAACCTTCCAATCCTGCCATTCCAACAAATGTGCTTCTACCAGACTACCAGACTAGAGAACAATGGAAAAGCAACTAAAATCTTCTTTAAATTTTTGACAGCCACAAATTAGTTTTAGAATAGAAATTTAATGTATTTTAAAATAGTACCAGGGGTTGAACTCAGGGTCATTTAACCACTAAGCCACATCATCAGCTCCTTCTATTTATTTATTTTTTTTAAATTTTGAAGCAGGGTCTTGCTAAGTCACTTAGGCCTCAATAAGTTGCTGAGGCTGGCTTTGAACTTGCCATCCTCCTGCTTCCTCCTGCCTCGCCTCCCAAGTTCCTGGAATTTCAGGCGTGCACCACCACACCCAATTGGCCTCATTCTTTTTTACTTAACAGATCATAAAAAACAAAGTGTGTTGCTAATTGCATGGGAAAAATTGTTAACCCAAAAGATATACCACAATCAATTATTTAAAATTATTTTGTCTGAAAGCCTATGTACAGCATGATGATTCTAGTTAGTAATAATGTATCATAACTTGAAATTTACTGAGGAGATATTAAGTATTAATGCACGCGTGGGCGCGCACACACACACACACACAGGGTAACTATGTGAAGTGATGGGTTTTTTCATTGGCTTGATAGTGGTAGCCATTTTGTAGCAAATACATATAGCAAACAGGATTTCCCTGTATCTAAATTTGGAAGCCAATGACTTAACTCTGAGCAGACACACATACATTTCCGCAGGCAAGAGGGGCCACACATCCCACATCAAAAACAGCACACACTATAATCCAGCTACCTGAGAGATTGAGACAGATGGATTCCAAGTTCAAGGCCAACCTCAGCAACTTAGTGACACCCTGTCTCAAAATAAAATAAAATTAAAAGGTTCAGAATGCAACTCAGTAGTAAAGCGCCACTGGGTTCAATCCCCAGTCACAATAACAACAACAACAAAGGTACTTGGAAAACAGCAACCCAGGCTATATGGAGGTTGCCTACAAAACAAATCATAAGTTTCTCTCAATCACAGGATAAAGGAATGATCTACATTGTTCTTCCAGCGTGTGATGTGAAATCCATTCACAGTGCACTGTATGCCGAGAGGAGTTTTTAGGTGTGTTTTATTTGTTAGAACTGGCTTTTTACAGAGTACTTAGTTTAGGAAATGCTTATCTGACTGTAGAAGACAGGTGCAGGAGAGCAAAAGCCACAAGTCACCTGTGGAGATGACTCAACAAGGCCACAGATGGCCACCACCTCCCAGGTGCCCCTGCCCAGGGCCCAGCGAACAAGGTGAAGGTTGACTGAGAAAGGAAATGGCAATTCTGCTGAGGCCATATCCCTGCCACTGCCTGGTCCAGAAGCCACTGGTCACAACGGGCTTCACCAGATCAAATACAGGACACTCGGTTAAATTTTAATTTCAGTAAAACCATGATTTTTTTTTAGTATAAATATGTCTCAGAAATTGCATTGGACATATTTTAAAAATTATTTCAGAAACCATCAATTCTCATGAGTGTCCCTTAGCTCTGAAAGAAGGCAAGAAATACAGGAATACTTAAAAACCAATTCCGCAAGATGGAGGAAGGGATACTGCTCTCACAAAGGCGAGGGCTACTATTGGGTCAGTATCCCCAGAAAAGCTGTAGCTAGTGGCTAGAACAGAGATATGAGCCCCACCTGTTTAGGTGACCTTGAATTCTACAGGACAGGCTCCAGCCCCCACTGACCACATCTTGACCACCTCTATCAACAAAAGAGTGGAAGCAGTCTCACATTCCCAAGTACACACTACACCCAGAAAGTCAATAAAACTTACTTTAAAAAAAAAAATTCTTATTTGTTTTAATTAGCTATACATGACAGTAAAATGCATTTATGCACTTTGATATATCATACATAGATGGGATATAATTTCCCATTTTTCTGAATGTACATGTTGCAGGATCATATTGGTCATAGAATCACATATATACATACAGTAATAATGTCTGAATAAAACTTACTTTTTAAAGAACTTTGTTCTCAGAGCAGAAACCTTCTAAAAAATGAATTCAGATTCTATACCTGCCTATGGCTTGTACTTAACATGCTCTGTCCCTGAGAGGCTCCACTCTTTATGGTAAGGGAAGGGTTAAGGATGGCTGCCTCCAAGTTATTTTCATTACCAGGTTGCTACACACCAGCACCTTTCAAGACCCATATGCTGTCTCAATGGTGATCATTTAAGCAGAAAACTCATCTGTTTTAACTTCACCTACATTTCAAGGAAGACGGTATAAAATTAAATTCCATCCACACCAATTATTTTTCTTCTTTCAAATGTTCAAAGGGGGAAAATAAATTATCCATTAAATCACAGATCTGTATTAAACTTCTCTTTATAATAAAAGCCCAAACAGCTGGAGTTTGACTTGCAGTTGGGTATAATAGACATTTGAAATTCAATAATTTGATTCCTTGAAAATATCACCAGTGTAGGTATCAAATGACGGCTCATTCTGTTTTCTTTTAAACATTATTAATTTCTTGGTGCCATTTAGGAACAGTAACCCCTTCGTGTAGTAAAAATTGCAAAAGCTTATGATCCAGGAGGTCCATGTCTAGCCAAGTCTCAGTTGGGAACCTGTGACTGGACTTTGGGCAAGAATATTATCACTCGGGATCTGTTTCCTTGCCTAGAAAGCAAGGGGAACCACCCAAATTACCTCACGGACTGAGGTTCCATCATTTCACACGCACTGAAATGCGATGGCAGCAGCCCCCAGGCCTTTTTATCTTGAGGAAACAGCGCCACCTTCAGGACATCTAACAGCTGACCACAGAAGTGTTTCTTCAAAGCGGGAGCGATTTGCCCTGATCTGGGGTCAACCTTCCTATGGGATTTGGTCACACACTTTTTGAATTCTGCCTGCTGGATTAAGATCAGTGTGCATGGACATGGAGCCAGGTTGAGCTAACTGATCCACTAGGGACAGCTGCATGACTTTGACCTAATTATCACAGTCTCCAGCTAGCAGTTTGTTCTTTTTGTTTGTTTGTTTGTTTTTATGGAAATTTTATTTTATTTTTTATTTTTTTATATTTTTTTATTGGTTGTTCAAAACATTACAAAGCTCATGATATATCATCTTTCATACATTTGACTCAATTGGGTTATGAACTCCCATTTTTACCCCAAATACAAATTGCAGAATCACATCGGTTGCCTGCAAAATAATTGCTTATGGAACTCCACAAAGAAGGCAAAAAAGAAAGACGTACACCCAATCGACTGAACACTATAAAGCCATAATGGGCAAAACTCTTCTTCCCCAAGACACTTTCCCTCACGTTCTAGTCTTGGCACAATATCGACTTGGAGGCGTCTCCTGTATATACTTTCCTTAAGAAAAATTATACAGCAGACTCTCAAGTAAATATACATATTTCATCCAGCAAGTATTTATGGGGTGACCACACTCAGTGCCAGCACAGTGCTAAGTGATCTCACAAGATTACTTCTATTGAATTTTCATAACAACTCCTGTGAGGTGGGGTTTAATATCCCCGCCTGAATCCACTGATTTAGCCTCCAGGCTTCAACATGCTGACACACAGCAGGATGGGACAGCAACTGCAGTCAGCAGTTTGGAGGCAAAGATAGCTGGAGAACTTCATTTATTTTTGTGAAGTGTGATCTGTGGGTTGAAAAGAACCCTAGCTTTGCCAGCCATCCTTAGTAGCAGCCCCTGGATGGAGAGCTGTATGTGCTGCAATAGAGTATCACTGTCTCTAAGTCTGACTTTTCTTACAAACAGAGACATAAAAATAAAAGGGAGACCAGTGGAGTATACCAGGAAGAGGGATGAGGGGAGGGAAAAGAAAATTCTGGGGAACCATATTGGCCAAATCATATTGTTTATATTGTATGCAGGCACAAATATGTAACAATGAATCCCACTATTATGTATAATGATAATGCACCAGTAAAAATATGGGAAAAAAAAACAAATTGAGTAGAGAATATTTAAGATTGCCCCTGTGACAATATCCCATCGATTCTAAGTTCCATAGACTTTCTGGGTTAGGAAAATGCTAGCTCACGGGAATGCATCAGATCTAGAAATATCCTTCTTTCCTGTACATCAAAGAGGAGAGACATGGGCAGTATTTCATGCCAGAGTACCCTGAATCGTGAATCTCACTCTTTTCTATGCCCACATGTACTTGGATGCTGCTGCTGAAAAAAGATTGGATTTCTATTCTTTGTATCCCCCACTCCACTTTACAAAATACTGGTACATAAATCCGAAGTTATTAAAAATTTACTGGTATGTTAGAAAAAATATATAGTTTGCATGCAGAACACAAGAGCTGTCCAAGCTGGAGTGATCAGACATATTTGAGATAACAGCTGAGTTGTTCTAGGGCAGAGCCCAAGTAAGGAGACTGGCTGGGAGGGGGAAGTGCCTGGGACATTAAGATTGTAGGTGGAAGTAGGAAAGACTCAGATGGAATAAGACACCAGAGTGGGTTGACCGTTTGTGGAAGGACAAGTTAAGATATGAGATTTGAACCACACAGCAAATGCTAGAAAAAGAAAAAAAATAATAATATACTATGTAGGCAGGAAATTTCTTAGTCTTAAGCATTTTGTACTCAGAGGAAATGATGTTATTTAAGACTGAATAATCAGTCAGTTGCAGCTGAGCAAAAGCTGAGGAAGAAATGCTTGGCAGTTGTTAACCAGCTTTTGCACATAAGCAGAACTGGCAGTGTCAGTCCCGTGGTGTCTCAGAAGCTGAAACAGTACTGAGAAAGAGGAAGAGAAGGGAGACGCCCTGGTCACGCCACAGAGAAAAACACCACAGGTGAAATGGTGTGCGAACGTAGAACTGCCTACATGACACTTGTCCCCAAAAGTATGTGGCGCAGCAAGACCTGACAGCAGCAGCGGCTGAGCTCATCCTGACCAGAACCTGGCACACCCTGCTCAAGCCCCAGTGATGGTGATGGTTCATGAACGTCCATTGTCACAGGTCAGGGTCATGTTTCCTTCCCACCCCCAATGGACCATGCTTTTTATTTATTGATTGATTTATATATGACAGCAGAACGCATTACAATTCTTATTACACATAGAGAGCACAATTTTCATATCTCTAGTTGTATACACAGTCTATTCACACCAATTCATGTCATCATACATGTACTTTGGATAATAATGACCATCTCATTCCACCATCATTTCTAACCCCATGCCCCCTCTCTGCCCCTCCCACCCCTCTGCCCTATCTAGAGTTAATCTGTTCCTCCCATGCTCCCTCTCCATACCCCACTATGAATCAGCCTCCTTATATCAAAATTTGTTTTTTGGGGATTGGCTAACTTCACTTAGCATTATCTGCTCTAACTCCATCCATTTACCTGCAAATGCCATGATTTTATTCTCCTTTATTGCTGAGTAATACTCCATGTGTATATATGCCACATTTTTTTTATCCATTCATCTATTGAAGGACATCTAGGTTGGTTCCACAGTTTAGCTATTGTGAATTGTGCTGCTGTAAACACTGATGTGGCTGTGTCCCTGTAGTATGTTGTTTTTAAGTCCTTTGGGTATAGACCGAGGAGAGGAATAGCTGGGTCAAATGGTGGCTCCATTCCCAATTTTCCAAGAAATCTCCATGCTGCTTTCCATATTGGCTGCATCAATTTGCAGTCCCACTAGCAGTGTATGAGTGTGCCTTTTCCCCCACATCCTTGCCAACACTTATTGTTGTTTGTATGCATAATAGCTGCCATTCTGACTGGAGTGAGATGAAATCTTAGAGAAGTTTTGATTTGCATTTCTCTAATTGTTAGTGATGATGAACATTTTTTCATGTGTTTGTTGATTGACTGTACATCATCTTCTGAGAAATGTCTCTTCAGGTCCTTGGCTCATTTATTGATTGGGTTATTTATTTATTTGTTTATTTATTTTGGAGTTTAGCTTTTTGAGTTCTTTATATACCCTAGAGATTAGTGCTCTATCTGATGTGTGAGGGTAAAGATTTGCTCCCAAGATGCAGGCTCTCTGTTCACCTCACAGATTATTTCTTTTGCTGATAAGAAACTTTTTAGTCTGAGTACATCCCATTTATTGATTCTTGATGTTAATTCTTGCACAGGAGTCTTATTATCCCACATGATGGAGATTAGTGCCTACTTTTTGTTCTATTAGACGCAGGGTCTCTGATTTTATTTCTAAGTCCTTGATCCACTTTGAGCTGAGTTTTGTGCATGGTGAGAGATAGGGGTTTAATTTCATTTTGTTGCCTGTGGATTTCCTGTTTTCCCAGCACCATTTGTTGAAGAGGCTATTTTTTT